TAAGATATGTCATACTATAATAGTAAAATTACTGATTATAATAAATTAATTATATATAATCTGATGAGTGATGAGGTATAATGCATACATATGGGCTATGATGAATATGTAAAAGGATAGTAAACGCTTAATAAGGTGCATTATGGTATACCACCATAACAAAGAATTATTATTTAATTTTTTTGTATACAATTTGCATTAATACGGAGTAAACTTCAACTTCATAAAATGCATACTAGTTATTCAAACATTTTGTTAATATACATAAGTACACCTTTCCTTTTTTATATTAGGTAGGTATTGTAAATTGTTTTCATATTTTCATATTACATTTTTATAAATATAAGCAATAATCAATAATACGTGAGTACCTGCCTGGTGGCTGCTGGTATATTTCAGTAATTTCCAAATGAACATTTTACATTCCAGAATATTCTCAAAATCCAGAAATTACAATATTCATTTTATCTAAAAACCAATTTAACCAATCTTTACTTTATCCAGTAGGAAAAATATAGATACTGGATAAAATGGTTTGTAGTAAAAACACATTTTAGATCGATTGTATATTAGGAAATATCACAGACTTCTATACTACACTAGATAAGGAACTCTTATACAATTTACATTGTTACAAGTGAAGCTCAGCTTTGAACGGCCGCCATTTTGTCGGTTGGCAAAACATTTCATTTATTATACAAAATGTATTAGGAATAATATTTTTTTTAACGGTCAAATAAAATAGTAAATGTAAAATGACTTATATAAAATATTTTTTTTTTTTTGTAACCTAAATGTTTAGAAATAAAAAAATACGATATAAAATAAATCATAATATCATCTTATTTGTCATATGAAATACCATACAATTGCCAACCGACTTTGAAGCTTCAATTCATGACCGGAGTTCGCTATCTAGTAATATATAGAAATCTGTGATTGTTACAAGTGAAGCTCAGCTTTGAACGGCCGCCATTTTGTCGGTTGGCAAAACATTTCATTTATTATACAAAATGTATTAGGAATAATATTTTTTTTAACGATCAAATAAAATAGTAAATGTAAAATGACTTATATAAAATATTTTTTTTTTTTTGTAACCTAAATGTTTAGAAATAAAAAAATACGATATAAAATAAATCATAATATCATCTTATTTGTCATATGAAATACCATACAATTGCCAACCGACTTTGAAGCTTCAATTCATGAATAAATCTGTGGGAAATATATGTTTCGGGAAAAAGTGGTATAGTCCCCGCATAGAACCATAAACTTGGTTAACCGTTGTGGGTCTACGGTATTACCGCGTCCGGTCTAATGTACAACCTCTTAGTTTGTGCGCGCGCCACCGCTGCGCGACCATAACCGACGCCCACCGCCGTCGATCGATTTCCTTCCATTCGGCCGTCGCCCGGTCGCCGTCCCTTTGTTCAGTCAGTCGTTTCACTTCTCACTGCTGTGTCGTCGTCTGAAGCCCGTCCACTCCACACACCTCCTCAACCGTCCCAAACGGCTAACCACGTTGCATCGCACCCGGAGCACACACACCGTCGTTCCAGTGACCACGCACATCTGCACTCACTGATCCCGCCGACCGGTCAAGTTATTTGCCGACGCTAAACACTCGTTTCCATTCCTTCGTCATGTCGTCTTCAGGGTAAGTGTCAACTAATATTTACGCGCGCGCGCACGGGGCCGTTCACCTCCCGTTCGTTCGGTTTTCACCCGCCGGTTTCATCGTTCCCGTACCGTCGAGACAGACAAGGCCGTGTGCGAAATCTAATGAAAACGTTAAAAAACGTAACCCATACGGCCATCGTTCAAAATGGCGTCGTCGACGCCGCCGCCGAAGACGATGACGACGCCACCACCGACCCCCCCACCCCTTCCTCCGCATCGGTGACCACCGACGCCGCCGCCTTCGTCATGGCGTCGTCCAAATATTTTATGCCGGTTACGGAATTATACGTTTGATAAATCGCGAAAACCGTTTGAAATGTACCTACGGTGGATAAACGATATTCCGATCGCGAACCTCAACCGTTTGTGGTTTAACGTTTGTATCTTACTCATGCAGACCGAAGCACAATATTGACAATTTTTAAGAATAGGTACGCATACGTTGCCGCCGCCAAAATGTTAGCGCGCGCGCCCGATGACAAATAAAAAACAAATAGTATAATAATATATCAATATTGTTGTGTGCGGACTGTTGGTGATCCATAATAATAATATGATTGTTTTGAACAAAGGTTGAAGTCGATTCAACAATAAATGAAATAATAAATTGTGTATTATCAATAATCATAAAAGTGTACAAATAGGTAGTCGTATATTATGTGTGTGTCTGCGGCCGAGTGCACTGGTCTCAACGGCTATGGTACATCTGAATAATATTTGGATCTGCTATGCACGATGTCGGCTCGATCATTTTACAGGTGTATTGTCTTGGATGTGGTCGTTGAAAGTTATAATAGTTTTTGTAGAGATGTAAAATATAGCCCCGTCAAAATAATTTGACTATAATTTATACATTATAATATGTGGTCAAACTTAAACATCTCTTTATTCATAATTTCTAATAGGTGCCTATATCAGATTTACATTTCATATATTGAGTAAGATGGAACCTGTAATTTAACGTTATACATACTCTAGCTAATCGTTGTGATTGCTTATATGTATCCGTAGAGCCATGGCCCTCTGCAATATATTTTTTGGAAAATATTTATTACTTTTGTTTGTCTTTCAAACGGGGATTACGCAGAAATGGGTTCCCATATGCCTGTTGCTAGTTTAATACCCTACATTCGTTTTCGTGTTACCCATTCGTAATGTGTTGCTGCCATATTTTTATGATCTCGATAATATTATTATTGTGTCTGGGATCTTTGTTGAATGGAAATTATCAGATTCCTATCTTGTTGACATACTTATTTTCGTTATTTATTTTGCTCTACAAGTTCTGTTTAATTTTAATTTTAAGGTTTTATTTCATTTTTATTTTTATTTCAATACAAACCTCGATACAAACCTAGGTACATGTATAATAAAAATTCAAATAACAAACAATCATATGTAACTAAAATGGTGTAATCAATTATCAAAGCAACATTTTACTTTGAATGTTATTTTTTTATATCATTAATTGAACATATTTGCTGCGGTTTATATTTTTTTCTGGAGTGTATTATACAGCGGATTGGCCCAACAGGAATTCGAGAGTTTTCCTGATGGATTGCCCTCTACACAAAAAGCTGTTTTTAATTTTTTTTTTATAAGTATTTAATCACTTAAATACAACTTTTAATAATGATATAGAAAATAAAAAAAAGACCTATCTTGTGCTCAATTAGTCATATTTAATATAATGTACCATTACAAAATATATTAATCAATTAAAATATTGTTTTTAATAGTATTTTAATAAATAAATTTTCTATGTGATTATCATATCTACCTAGTTAATGTGTTTTTGGTGTTTAGAGTGTGATATCAATACTCAATTTTGAATAGTGAATAAAAAAAAATTCAAAATATTACTACGATGCACCCAAATTTATAATTGTTTTAACAAACAAGAATTTGAATAAGTCTTATAATATTTTGTATGACTACCCTAGTACTCTACCAATAACATTAAAGCACACTTATAAATATATTACCTTTTTGTTGAGTAAAACTTAAATTAAATTAAGTTCCTATATTGAAACCATTAATGACCAATCCTAAAACTGCGGAAGGTATTGAATATTCATTAGGTATATACTATTTAATGATACAATGATAGGTATGATATTACACTTTCGTTTTTCCCATATACCAAGTGTAAAGAACAAAGTTTACTATGATAAATCATGCAAATAGGTATAGTTATTTGAATGATTCTTCTGAAACTGTTTATTCAACTTCTTGCAGTCAATTACAATGAGTGCTAATATAATTTGTTTGCTTATTAACTATTATTAGGTACATATTTACAAAATAATAGTTAGAAGAAATTAATCATTATAGCACTGTACTATAGAAACTTGTTTACGTTATGGATATTGTTTAACTATATTATTTATAAATTAACAATGTATAATATATTTTATAAACCAATTATTAGTATGTAGGTAGTAGATGATTACGATTCAAAATATAGTTTGTTCGATTCAATGACAAATCCGTTAATATAATAAATGTTCCTAACCATCAAGAAGTTAACAAAAGCCGTGCGGCGATCTATTTACAGTATTTTTCCGCACCAAAATGTTTCCCCAATCCGCTCCTGAGTATAGGTACCTAATTGTTCTCTTTTGTTTTTATTTTTTAAAAAAAACCAAATGCACTTAATTGGACACTACACAGACATTTTGTCTAAGTGCGCAAATTTTCATTTAACAGATCAAGTTTAGCCCCGTTAGTTTAAAAATTGGAATGAATTGACCTCTTATAAAATTTAAAGGTAAGATTATAACCTATGTTATCTCCTAGGTTTTTTGTACTAGGTTTATATTTTAATTTATTAGCGATGTTTAGGTATTTTAAAATTTTAAATTCTTTGTAGATCTTAAAATACTCTTAACTCGCTTTAAAATCAAAATATAATAAAAAAAACCTATGAGATGTCCTTGATAATAATGTTACCTTAGAATTGTATGCGAGGTCAATTCACTCTAATTTTTAAACTAACAAAGCTAACTGTGATCTGCTGAGCTTAAAATTTGTTGTGTTACAAACTTGTAGGACGGACACAACACATGTCTGTATCCTCTTGAATTAAAAATTAAAATATTTATGTACCTATAATTTCAGCGTTTATTTGAAATAAAGCTTTATTGGTTCTATTGGCGAAGCTTATAAAAAACAAACAGTTTAGTTGTTATGCTGACAAACTTATAAAATAATGTCCTATGAATAACAATTTACTTGATGTTTTTTGGTGTAATCTGTAGCCGAGTTATTTAAAATAAATGATACATCTATTTTGTTATATTTTTATTAACATATTAATGTATTTTTGTTCCAGAGAGAAAGAAATCGTCGGGAACATAGAACCTAGTGGTACTGCTGCAGAAGAGGATAAACAACCGAAATATTGCGTAGAGTTAATTCTAGATAAGCGTTTAAATAATAATAAGGTAGAATACTTCCTTAAGTGGAAAGGCTACGGTGACAGAGAAAATTGTTGGGTACCTGAAGAGAATCTGGATTGCCCGAGTTTATTAAAAACGTTTGAAGAAAATCTTATTAGGGAGGAGAAAGAAAGAAAAAAAAGAGAAAAAAGACAAAAAATGGCAAAACTTGAGTGTGTTGGCAGTGGCGTGAAGCGGATACGTTCAAATTCAACAACTTCATGTGCTTCATCGGACGCTCATTCTGTTAGTGCAGTGGTAGAACCGGAAAAGAAATACATTGAACAAGTCGAAGTTCATGATGTTTCAAATGTGTTAGAGAAGATTCCAGATCGAATTTTAGGTGCATCTGATACAACTGGCCACTTGATGTTTTTGATTAAATGGAAAGGACTTGAAGAATCTGACTGGATATGGGCTGAAGAGGCTAAATTAATGTGCCCACAACTCGTTATCAAGTTTTATGAAAGTAGATTTACATGGGGTAAAATATAAATGGTGTTTAACTATTACAATACGAAGAAGAACAACATGTGTTCAAAAAAAAAACATTTATTTTATATCAAACCCTATGGTACTTGTTTTCAATTATTTTATTTTTTGATTGGTTTTTTGATGTGGTAGTTATGCCTTACAAATAAATATAACAGTTTATCAATTATAAAATACTTAAATGTTAGTAATAAAGAATTATTTATTTCATTATAAGCCCTTAAATTTATCTTTTGAAAGTTCATTAAATGGACAATATTAAAAAAACCTTTGTACTCGTTATAGTATAGAATCTATACTTTAATCACGTTAAGAAACCTCAGTGGCGACCAGTTTTAATCGAACAACACCTGTTTGTCACTCCCACCAAGACAATCATCTATGTGGTAAAGCCTCTCTTCTGTGCAAAAATCGGCCGCTGAGGTTCCTTCTTAACGCAAACGGAGTATATTACAAATTCATGGTGCCAACATGGATTGTTTGATAGAGCTTTAAAAAATGGTTACCGGGGCAAGCGACACATAAGCATACTATTTACAACTCAAAATATTGGATAGGAAAATTGTTTACAAAACTCAAATTTTATTAAAGGATAAAATGTTGTCTATATCTGTTGTATAACTGACAATTATGGCAAAAAATATCCTACACTGACTTGTCATCGATTGATTATTCATTTAGGTAGGTACCTATTCAGAGATTGGACAATTGTCACTGGATCACTGAACCCCGATAAACTGCATGTGTATACAATAAAATTGTCAGCACAAATCACGTGGTGATTTCCTTCACAAATTTATGCTCATCTTATTGTCATCCGTTATTATAATATAGAACAATATTGTTATATGGTACTAATGAAAAATTTACATTACACAAACATTATATTATCAGTATAAATTTGAATTATGATAGGGTAAAATATTTTTAACCCAGTTAGTTTGAACCACACGAGTCAAGACGGATTAGATTTACAATTACTAAGTGGATGATTGAAAGTAAAACAATATTATTAAAAAACTACAGATCGTTTCTTCGTTGTAATATTATTTTTGAATTTAAAAATGCATGTAATATTATATAGATAATTATATTTGGTAGTTATTATTACAATATGTATTGTTAAACTATTATTTGTTAGTATCTTGTGAAATAATTCAAATTTAGGTTATGTAAATTAGTACTAGTAAGAAAGTAACTTAGAAAAATCCATTGAAAATAAACTGCATATTAATTCTATACTTAATTGGCACAAATCCAATACAATTTATATATCTAACAAAAAAAGAGATATTTTGAGCATAATTAAAATTAAATTGGATGACAATGAAAAAAAAATGTTCTAAAAGAGATATTAGTTTGGTAAATAAAGAAACATAATACAGATATGACAAGAATTGCAATTTTGGTTTAGCAAATAATCCAACTTTGAACATGTTAAAAAGTAAGACAATTGGTAACTAAGGACTACTTTATGAGAAAGAATAAACAGGAATTAAAAAAATTCAATTTCAAAACCATAACTGTGTGTTTAAATTATAGGAAATTTGACTAGGGTTGTAAACACAAAATGTATTTTACTAGAGAATACAAGTTAAAATTCATATTTATACATTGATTTATAATTAGGTTTTGTTAAAAAAGAATAATATAAAGAGGTGTCTATAATCAGTGGTGTAAATAAGCCTAATTTTTTGGTGGTGCAGAGAAATATTTGAAGTCCAGTATACCAACCAATACTCTTAACTCCTTTGGAAATTCACACAAAATGTTAACCTAGAGTCCTAATTGTACCTAATAATGAGTATCAATAATATAATAACATATTGTTATTTTTCAAATAATGTTTTTGAAAAAAATTAATTTATAAATTGTATTCATTGGTATAATGTTTAATTAATTAATGGCTATAGTCTATAACCGTCTAAAAATCTTCAATATTTTTAGTATAAAACACAAAACAAAATAATGAGGTACCAACCAAGGAAAATATTATGATTTTTAGTTGTAGGCATAGTTATAGTGTATGTATTTAAATACTAGTGTTTGTGAGTGCTGATTTAATTTTGAATAGTTAATTTCTTAATTATAAATGTCAATTGAGAAAACTATCATATATAGTAGGTACTATAAAAACAAATGAAAAATAGATTATAATAGAACTATAACGGATTGATTACATAAGTTAATATTATTAATTATTCATATGTATAAGTAAATTCAATGTCAAGAATATTTTAACGTCCGCTTAGGTTTTGAAGTTTCTCCGTCCATCCTACAGCTATACAAAAATATATGAGCAAAGTTTAAACACAATTATGAGCAACGCAACAGTCGTCGGCCAGAACACTAACGTCATGTACCTACCGAGGAGTCCCGCCAACACCCAATAAGTTTTCCTTGCCAGCGTTTGATGGTTGCATACTGACAAAATTTATGAAATTTAAAATTGAATAATTATTTTGTAAATTTATAAAATGTTCAACTTCTATATCTAAGGATTGAATATTTAAAACAAGGTTCCAAGTAAGTAGTTAATTCTGTTACCAAAAAAATCTAAAAAATACATAAGCACAGTTTATTTTTATAGTCATTTTAAGTTAAAATTTGGACGAAATTACATAAAAAAAACCTAGAATAACTATTTTAGTTATTTTGTTGTGATTGTATAATATCATTCGTGGGGACTAGAATCTTCTAAAGTAGGTACACTATTATATACCTATCTATGATAGTATCAGAGTTTGTTTTTGATGTATATAACGCGATATAAGTACCTAATGGATATTGTGATATGATTAATTTGGAATTTATTATAGGTACCTATTATAGGTCAATTTTTTGTAATACCATAGATAAGTAAATAATGTGTCTTATACCTAGACGGCTAGACTGACATATCGTCTCCGCTCAGAATCGTTTTTCTTATACAATAAATGATATTATATCATTGAATTCAAATTTAATACTATCCATTATACAGGAACCCACTTGCAACCTACTGTACAGCAGAGCACCTTTTAGATTCTGAGTGAAACGATGAATGTATTGATTTTACAATGATGTGTGTTTTTATATTTTTTTTTATTTTTTTTTGTGTCTGTGTACCTACACGATAAGTAGTCGAAATAATGCTTCGATTTTCGACTTCAGTATCTTGTTCGATTGGAAAGTGAATATCGTTGGTGCATTAGGGAGGTCAAAATTTAAAATTCCCAGTACTTTTCAAAAGCACCAAGAAAAATTAAAGAAAAACGGGAATTTTTACGCAAAATCGATTTTTCAGAAAATTGAATTTGGTTTTTGGTGTAACTTTAAAACAAATGACAGTAGATACATGAAATTTTCACTGGTTGTTTATATTTGCATTTTCTATACACGATAACATTTTCAAAATATTTTGATTTATTTTGAACTGTTTAGGGACATTTTCATTTTTCATTTTTTTTTAGTTTTTTTTCTAGAAATATCAATAAAATTTTATTTGTTGGTTAAAAAAACTTGAAAATTTAATAGAAGGCTCCTAGTATATTGTTTCAAAGGCAGATGAAAAATATTAAAAATCGTTAGTCACAGTTTTTTTTTATAAGCATTTAAAGTTCAAAAATTGACAAAATATGGAAAAATCACGAAAATTAGCAAATTATTTTGAGTTAAGAATTCGTTAAAATTTTTCTTTTTAAATCTAAGATTTGAAAATCTAATACAAGGTTACTCATAAGATTGTCTACCTTTATCAAGAAAAAAATCTCTACCGGAAAGTCAAATTTAATTTTTATGAGCGTTTGAAATTCAAATTTTTACAACTTTGGATATTCACTCGATTTCTCATGTAGCGATTTTCTTATTTTGTTGTAATTCCAAAACGAATAATTATAGATACATGAAAATTTCACTGAATGTTCAGATTAGCATTTCCAATACACTGTACAATTTTGAAAATATTTCGACTCTATTTGAGCTGTTTACGGACATTTTCAGTTTTCAATTTTTTTAGTTTTTTTTTTCTATAAATATCAATAAAGTTTTATTTGTTGGGCCAAAAAGTGTAAAAATTTAATACAAGGTTCCTGATATATTGTTACAGTAGCAATTGAAAAATATTAAAAATACATAGGCACAATTTTTTTTTATAAGCATTTAAACATCGAATTTTGACAAAATTTATCAAAAACTCGAAAATTATCAATCATTGTAATTAATAAATTATAAAATGTTCAGTTTTTATAGCTAAAGATTGCAAATTTTAAACTAAATTTCTCATAAATAGTTCATACTGTAACCAAAAAATCTAAAAAATATATGATCACAGTTATTTTTTACAGACATTTTAAATTCAAATTTGGACGAAATTACATATTAAAATCAATATTAACGATCTTTGTTTTTGTTGTAATTTAAAAATATTATTCGGTGATTTACGAAACTGAAAAATCAAAATATTATGGCCTATTCATACAATCTACCATAGTATAAGGAATAAGAATTATGCTCATGATAAGACTGTGCATATTTTAAGGAATCTATTCATAAATTCCATATAATTTAATACCATAGAAAAGTATATAATATGTCTTATATCTAGACTGACATACCGTCTCCGCTCAGAATCCTTTTTCTTATACAATGATATTATATCATTACATTCAAATGTAATACCATCCATTATCAGTGACCCACTTGTAACCTACAGTATAGCAGAGCGACATCCACTTACCCACCTTTTTTTAATTTAATTCCAAGTACCTACCTAGGTATTTTTTTTTAAAAATGCGCGTAACGAAAAAAACGTGTGTTTTGAAGTTTTTCATCAATAACTTCAAAATGTAGTTATTCCGGGCCGTTTTTTATTTCAATCTTACAATTAACCCTAAAACACACATTTTGAAAAAAAAAAATTTTAAAATATTCAATAATTCTAAGTAGGTATTTTAAAAAAAAAAATGCGCGTAACGAATAATTACTAGTATTTATAACCAATGGTTCATTGTTTACAAATTGAT